CTTCTGTTTTGTTTTGTTTTCTTTTTCTGGTGGTTCCTCCTATTGGTTCTAATTCTTCCTTACAACATGACTAATGTGAAAATATCTTTAATAGAAATGTATATGTAAAGCCTATATCAGATTGCATGTCGTCTTGGGGAAGGAGGTGGGGAGACAGGGGGAGAAAAATTTTAAACTCAAAAGCTTATGGAAGTGATTGTCGATAAATCAAAATAAATTAATAAAAAAAGAAAAGAAAAAAATAAAAAAAAATTTTAAAAAGGAATTCAAGGGTGGTGTCTAAAAATTCCCTGTCCCTCACATGAGAATGAAGTGGGGGGAAGGGGAGGGACTAAGCTAATTAATTTATTCATTCAACAAACATTTATTTTGGCCCAGTGGTTAGAGTGCACTCCTGACCGTCTACATGGCACCCCTGGAAGCCCACTCCATCCCTGGACTACTTCTCCCACTGTGAGGACCCTCTCTGCCTCCAGCCTCTCCCCCTCACTGGCTGCTTCCCCCAGACCCTCCATTTTAGGGAGGAGCCCTAGACCAGCCATGACTTCATCTCCAAGCTAGAACTCCTGACTCTCCCTGGACTTTCTACCCTTCTCCCTTTTCAATCTCTTTTATGTGTTGTCTTACAATTAAAATGTAAGCTCCCAGGGGGCAAGGACTAAGACAATCTTTTAACCTGTTTTTGTTTTCCAAGTACTTAGAGAAAGTACCTGTGGTTCAGTTGTTTCTGTGATGTATGACTGTTCCTGATCCTGGGGTTTTATTGGCAAAGATACTGGAATATTTTACAGATGAGGAAACTGAGGCCTGAGAATTTAAGTAACTAGTCCAAAGTCTCAGAGTCAGAGGAGAAGATGACCATTCTTGGGAGGGAGAACACAGCTCCTGGCCTGGCTTGCCAGAAAATATGGACTTTTGAGAGATTCAGTGCTGAACTGAAGGTGAAATACTGATCTAGCAGGCACTTTTTTGTGCTTTTTTTGATATTTTAGTGTCGACCTCCAGGAAGAGAATAACAGGAGATATAAGTCGCTACTGCTTATTTCGGTGTTTGTCATTGCCTATTTGTTAGTCTTTTATGTGAAGCATTTCTTTTGTGTGGAAGAAATAAATAGCTACCCACCACATGGGAAAAAAAATTAAAATTAATTGGAGTAGACGTTGAGCCTGGAGACGACAAGACTGTTGTGGAGGTGAGGGATGGGGAAGTATGATAACTGTCTTCCCATGCTTATCAAAAATGGGAACACACTTGACCTGCTTGGTCCTAGAGGGTAGACCCAGGACTGGTGAAGACGGCCCAGGAAAAGCTTCCTGACCCGTAGAAGGGAATAGACCCACTTAATGAGCTCTCTATCAGTGGAGGTCTTTGCTGGAGGCTGGATAAGCTCCCATGCAGGGTCTTCCCACCAAGGTCTGGGTTGAACTAGAAGTCTTCTGAGGTTTCTCCTGCTCAGGCAGAGCTGAAAAGGGCACTTTGTTTGCTTCTCTCTTGGGCACTATCCAAGTTCAGGGAGATTTCAAAGGAGAGAGAGAGAGAGAGAGAGAGAGAGAGAGAGAGAGGAGGAGAAGAAGGATGAGGAGGAGGAGGAAGGAAGGGCAGGAGAGAAGAGAAAAGAGAGAGAGAAGATGAAGAAGGAAAAGAGGAAAAGAGGAGAGGAGAGAGAAAAAAGAAGAAGGAGGAGGAGGGACAGGAAAGGAGAGAAGAAGAAGAAGAAGAAGAAGAAGAAGAAGAAGAAGAAGAAGAAGAAGAAGAAGAAGAA